TGAGTGTGTTTGTGTGTGCTGGCTCTGCTTAGGGAGGGCTTCGCTTGCCCAAAGTAATTTAAAATCCAAGACAGAATCCTGCAGCTTGACAGGAGTTTCTTGGTTCATCCTCCTTGTGAGGATTGCTTAGGCTCTGGTGTCTCTCAAGTGAGTCTGGGAGTATAAAGAAAAAATCCAACTCAGAGGGTCATGGAGTTGGTGGGTCTGAGGCTAGCAGCTGCTAAAGTTGGTTATAAGAAGAAACTTACTTGGCCTGAAGAGCCCAGGGCCAGGTCTGTCCTAATGAGGGAGGGCCATTTATAAGGCTTCCCTAGGCTAACCTGATTCAACTCTGTCACATCAGGATAGGCAAGAGAAGATGCTGCTGAAGGAGGACTACGACAACAGCATCAAGGAGTCAGAAATGGCAGAAATGATGAAACAAGAAGAGTATCAGATTCAAGAGCAGTGTGCAAAGTGTCACAAGGTAGGAAGGAAGAACTCAGCCAAAGGTTCAGCCACATCCAGTGATGGATTTCAGGAAGTCCACAAGGCAGCCCAACACTGGGCAAAGAATGTTGAGGCTCCCCTTAGCCTACCTATTCCTCCATAGTCGCACATTTACATGCAAACCAATCCTACAACAGTCTTGTCCACAAAATCCTTGTCAATGCATAAAAGAGGACTACAGGATATGGCTCAAGTGGTAGAGCACTTGTGAGGCCCTGAGTTCAATCCCCAGTACCAAAAAAATAAACAAATAAAGGAAAAAGTGATAAAAGGCAAATTTATTTTAGACTTCAGGAAATACCACTAATATTACTAGTTTTAAAAGTTCAGAGTTGTTTTTTTTTTTTTAAACTCTTCATCTGGAACAAATATGTTTTCCTACAAGATCCTTTGTTCCCTTTTCAAAAATTACTCAGTATTTTTTTAGAAACCAAATATATTCATTACAGCACATACTTCAGATATAATCTTTTATTTAGTATTTTATTGTTAAATTCCGTTTATTTATGTGTCAAGCCTCAGATGCCTCCTTTCTGCTGCTGTAATAATGGGCCTAAATTACTAGTTTGAAATAGTTGGGAACAATTCTGCGTTCATCCGTCTGATGAGCATATCTTTGATCTCCCACAATCTTTTCTATAATCTCCCCCCAAAAATCTTGTGTTCTTTTATGCTTTCTACAAAGTAACTGATACCCAGATAGAGAATTCACTTAATTGCAGTGTTGGGCTTGATATCTGACACTTTAACTGTCACTATATCCCATGCATTAAAGTCTTTAATTCAGCCCTGTACAATTCACTAGCTTTTGCTAGCTTCAAGGCCAACTTTGAAGACATGAAAATATTAAGCTTATTTACATTTATACTAATATATTCAACATTCTCATAAGTTATTTATTTGAAGGCTGGAAGGTTTATAATTAAAGGGGAAGGTGGTTTTATACTAGTTTTTTTTTGACAATGTACCCTTTGAGCAATTATTTGAGGATGAGAGAGGAGAGGATCATGAAGTCACTACCTGTTGACCATTCCAATGACTTTCTAGCAATATATTTTCCTATCAATAAAATCAGATATATATAGATATATATAAATACATCTATATATATATCTATATATCTGATATATATAGATACATTATGTAATATATATAAAGTAAGGAAAGATTTCTGAAACTCCACTCCATAAAAATGGTAGGGGCCTTAAAACTTTGCTTACACTCATATTTTGAATTGGCCCTTTGTATTGCACTCAGGACTGCACCCTGTAGCAATACTCCTTAGCAAGATTTAGATAAGCAGAAAGTATGCCATTCCTTTGCCAAGTGTGAGACAAGGGCAATTATAAGGAAATGTGGAAAAGGAGAGCCAGCATGCTCCTAGACTGTGTGCACATTCTATTTTAGGAAGTATTCACAGGCAAGTTGTGGTTATGGAAGTTGATTTCCTTTGTTAGAGGAAAGAAACAAGGAAAACCCAAGAGTGATCTAAAACAGCAGAATGAATTGTTTACCTAGCAAGGGAAAGCTACATCATTCAGATGTGAGTTAATTTCCGAGTAAAATTTGAAATGCAAAGAGGTAGAGGTAAAACTGGATGTTTAGACCACAGGGCAAAGCTCCTGCACTTCCACATGTCAGGTCCAGCCACTCACCGCTATATTCCAAATAAAGAGATGTGATGAAGGCAGAGAAAGAAGGTTTATTACACAGCCCAGGACACACCATGGGAAGAGGCAAAGTAAACACTTCAGCCCATCTTCAGCCATCTCTGGGGTACAGACATGAGCTATAGGTTTGCATAGACAAAGAACCAGGGGCAGGGTGAGAGAGGTATGCATATTTATTAAACAGTCCTGGACACAGGTGTGTTCCAGTGGACCACTATCTTGGCCCTTGTTTTGGGAGTGGTTCTAGAGAAGTTATCACTGTCATCACTGGTCAGGGTAAACAAGTCATTATTGCCTGGTAGGGGGTCTATCCTGTGGGTTTCTGCAGGGGTGGTTTCTATCCCTTTTCAAAAAGATATTATTGATCAGTCCTTTCCTTGCTGTAATCCAAGGTGACTGCAAAGTGACTGCAAAGACAATGGCTCAGAGCAAAGGCATTCAAAATGGAGGGAGGGATGCCCTTTTAGTTAATTCATGGGCCTCAGTGAGGAGCCAGTGCTCCCCAGCAAAACCAGCTTATAAGCACCTATTACCGTGGTAGATCAAATAACAAGATTCTCAAGTTCTGGTTTCTGATTCACTCAAGGTAGATTTCAAACTCTTCTTTCCTATTGGTCACCTTCAAATTTCACATCACCAGAGCTGGGAAACTTGGTTTCAGACAGGGGTGCGGGATGGGTTGTGTCAAATTTCAGCAAGCTTGAAATAAGCCTGGTTTACCTGATTGGTTTATATGCACATGCACAAAGCTCTGCAAGATTTTTCCTTAATCTCTTAAAAGCATCTTTGCTTGCTTACACCTTTGAGGGACTCAAAGGCTTGAATACTACTAGCCTAATGGCTGTGTCAGAAGAGGAAACAGTGGTAGGTGTGGTCAGCTCATATCCAGTTTTAGGAAGCAAGAGCTGCATAGGGAGGTAGCATTTGAGTCCAGCCTAGAAGAGAGTCAGCAAAGGAATTTGTATGAACTTTTGTATTTACAGTATTGTATACTTTTCAGTTCTAGAGAGTGTTCTTTTTATGATTTTCATTTTCTCTGCTGATATATACCCTAACTTTCACTCATTTTGTCCATTTTTCTCTCTTAAATTTTTGAAAATATTTGACAGTTGTTTTAAGTCTTGTCTGCTAATTCCATCATCTGTGTCATTCCGGGGTCTCTTTCCATTGAATAGTTTTTTTTCTCTAAATTATGGTGCGTGTTTTCCTACCTCCTCCCTCACATTCCTACTCATTTTTACTTGTATACTAAACATTGTAGCTGGTACATTGTAGGGAGTCTGCGTTGTTTTCCTTCAAAGGCATTTTTTCCTGGCAGGCAGTTAAATTATTGGTGAATCCTAGCAGGTTTGGTTTCATGCTTTTTCTTCATCCTAGGCATGAAAATAGTAATATTGTGCTCTTGATACTCTTAAGTGTGTTTAGTGTCTACTAACAACTTTTTCGTTGTTGTTGTTTTCTATTTTGTTTTTTTCTCCTTCGCTTCCACAAATGATGCTATATCCATGCAGAAAGACACAGAACGCCCTAAGAAGGAGGCCTTGAAGTAAGAATCTCTGCCAGGAACACTTCAACATATTCCTTCCTCAGAGTCAGCTGAAATAAATGACCCAGAGGCTTTTCCCTATAATTTTATTTATGAAAGTGCCTCGGGCTCCAAATCTTCTTAGATGATCAGAATGGGGAGAGTTCTAAAGATCCCCTCCCTCAACACTGCAAGCCAAGAAAATGGCAAGAAGAGACCTCACATCAACCAAGACTTGGGGGATTGTGAAAGGAGGTATCTGCAGGAACTCTGTAGCCCCAAGGCTGGTCTGCTATCTACAAATCCCCTTAATCATGTGAAAATTTGAACTTTCTATAGAATAAAATCAACTCAGAATAAGAATTAAAATAAGTAACCAAGTGGATAAGACTTTTTTTCCTCTTATCTTATCATTTTGTGGAGATGGCACAGAGAAAAACACCTATCTCGTGCTCTGAACTTTAGCTGCACGCAATCAGGCTTCAAAGGTATGTCCTGGAGGCCACCTTTGTTACCAGTAGCAGGTATGTTTCTTCATTTTTACATTTTTCCCAACTTTTAATTGTGATAAAGCACATACAACATAAAATTTGCTGTCTTAACTATTCTTGAGCGAGTGTACACCTTTATGGTATTAATAGGTTCATATTGTTGTATAACCATTACCACCAACCAATGCTCAAATTCTTTTCATCTTGCAAAGTGGAAACTCTACACCTATTTTATAATAACTCTTTCTCTCCTTCCCCACCCCAATCCCTGGAAACCACCATTCCACTTTGTCTCTATGGTTTTGACTAGTCCAAGTATCTCATATAAGTAGAATCATACAGTATTTGTAATGTCCTCAAGGTTCATCCATACTGGATCATGTGCCAGAACTTCTTTCCTTTTTAAGACTGAATAATAATATGTATGGACCATGTAGAATCTCAGTACTTCTGCATCTAGAGATCACACCATGCTGCCTCATGTGATACAAAAAAATACTTAAGAAAACCGAAGAGAACTTGGTCACTGACAAGGTGAAAACACTGTGGGTGTGGGAAATCCAAGATGACTGCCAGGTTTCTAGTTTGGGTCCTACAGGTGGATGGTGGTGGCTTTTTCTGCAATAAAGGACTCTAAAGAGGAAGAGCAGGTGCGGGCATGCTGAGTTTGTCTGCCTTTGAAAGGGACAGCTGGGGGGATGCCACAAAAGAAGGCATCCCTGAACCACTGCCCTCATCCAAGCCCCAAGAAGTACCAAAGACCCCATCCTAGCCTTATCTTTTCTGCAAGATGCCAGAGCAGGGGATGGAATTTTCTGTTCAATATCAGAAGAGACTTAAGCGGTTCTGTATTTTAAAGTGCTAAACTTTTCGTTTTCAATTTCATCAGATATTTAGATACCTGATATCCTGTGAGAGATACTCTTAGACATCAGGAGATAATAATGCTTGACTTTGAAGGGCATCACTTTTCTAATATTCTAGAAGCAAGTTTACCTTCTTAGCTATATTTCAAAATCCATATTTAGGGGACTGGTGGAGTGGTTCAAGTGGTAAAACACCTGCCTAGCAAGTGTGAGGCAATGAGTTCAAATCCCAGTACTGCTAAAAAAAAAAAAAGACAAAACCTATATTTAAATACTTCTGCTTAATGGTAGCACAAAGCCAACTTGGAGTTAAAATGCTATTACAAATATTCCATAAAATGATTTTTGAGCTTTGCTTCTTATAGACAGCAGGCTCCCTGTTGGTCTGGCATTCACTACCCAGGGATTGTGTCCAAATTCCAGGGCACCAAGGTCCAGAGCTGTAGTCCTACTTGGGAAAGGCCCATGAACTAAGAGTCCCTTTGACTTTCTACTGATGCTTTAGCTAACATTAGCTGACTCAGTGATATCTGAGGGTAATGGCATGGAGGCTGGGCAGGGAAACCAAAGGGCCATTAAGTGAGACGAGGAAAAAATGAGGTCCATTACAGTAAGGTTGCCTTAATTTTGTGTTTTGATGATTAATGAAAGTGAGAGAAAATGCCCAAATCATGTGCATAAATGACGCACAACAGAAGTGAAAGGAGCTGACTGATGGCTCCTTCACACGCTCTTCCCTTCCCAGTCCTAGTTAATCCCTGCCCTGAGGACCCACTGCTCCTGATGCTCCTATATCCAGTTCCTTCTGGATGCAAGGGCAGAGAAAAGACTAAGGACTCTCTGCCTACATCTTCACATACAAGACTTCGTGTATTTGTTCTCTTGTTGTGTAACAAATTACCAAAAGCTAGCAGCTTAAAACAACACTCATTACCTTATAGTTTCGTAGGTCAGAGGTCCGAGTTGGATTTCATCTGGGGTTTCTGCTCACAGTCTTAGGTTGGAACCATGTCTGTGATCTCGTCTTAGGCTGGAGGTTCCCCTCCCAGCTGATTGGTTGTTGGTAGAATTCAGTTCCCTGCAGTTGTAGAATCAAGTATTCCTCTTTCTTACTGGCTGTTAGTAGAGACAATTTCAGCTTCTAAAGGCCACCTGCCATCCCCTAGTGTGTGACTTTCTCCACAGCCTACTATTTGTTCTTCCTATTGGCTTTGGATCTCTCTGACTGCTTTTAAGGGCTCCCCCATGACAATCTGCCTTTTGATAAACTTAAGGTCAGTTGATTAGTAGCCCAAACATGGTCATGATATCCCATATTATTCACTAGTTCTGCACATACTCAAGGGGAGGACATTATACGTGGATGCACACCAGGGGATGAGAGTCTCAGGGGCCAACTTAGAATTCTGCCTGCTGCACTGAACATACAACTCTTCAGAGGGCTGCATCAGACAATGCAGAGTACAAAGTAGTACATGAGGAATTGAAGTCATTCAGTGGCCAGAATCAGTGAGGATCAATCAGTGGACAAGGATGAGAGAAGACCCTTGCTGGACTGAAACATAAATGGAGAAGGGGGATTATGAGGGACCAGCAGAGCACCTATGGGGGATTCACCCACAGAAAAGTGCAAATTGATATCTACATGGTGGGAGAACTAGGAATTCATCCTATCTCTAACTGCCTGGTCAGGTAATGGGAAATTGAAATAAGAAGAGCCAAGAAAGATGATTTCTCTCATTTCCCCATGAGAAATGCAGGGATATTTTCACTGAGAAACAGCCCTGCTTTGTGGACTTTTAGAATAAATACTAACCCTTCAAACCCAAGCCACTTCTTTTTAACTAAATACCCAAATTGAGAAATTACTTTTAGATTCTCAGATTCAGAGATCACAATCCAACCCCCTCACTTTGTTACATCAAAGTAAGAAAAGATCTCTTAGGGGCTCAAGCCTACAATCCTAGCTGCTCAGGAAGCAGAGATCAGGAGTATCATGGTTCAAGGCGAACCTGCATTAAAAGTTTGCAAGACCACCATCTCAACCAATGGCTGGGTGCTGTGCTACACACCTGTCATCCCAGCTATGTATGGAAAGAAAGACAAGAAAATCATGGACCAGGCAGCCCAGGCATAAAGCGAGACCCTATCTCAAAAATAACCATGCAGAAAGGACTGGGAGTATGGCTCAAATGGTAGATCACCTGCTTGGCAAGCATGAAAAAGAAAGAAAGAAAGAAAGAAAATATGATGCCCTGAATTCAAACCCCAATACTGCAAAAATAAATAAACAAAAAAACATAAAATAAGAAAGGAAGGAAGGAATTGGAGGAGAAGAGAAGGATGAGATCTCTTGGCTAGTATGTAATACCCATCCTTTGCACTTCTCTGCTCACTCAAGACAAAGTCTGACACATAGACCAATGATAGAGAGTAGAAAGACCTGATACAGTGGCTCAAGCCTGTAATCTTAGGTACTTGGGAGGCAGAAATCAGGATTGCCTTTCGAGGCCTGCCCAGGCAAAAAAGTTCAGGAGTTTCAACCAATAAAAAATCTGAGCATGGTGGTATGCATCTGTTATCCCAGCTATGCAGGAGGCATAAATAGGAGGATTGCAGTCAATACTGGCCTGGGCATAATGTGAGACCCTAATCAAAAAACTAACTGAAGCAGAAAGGGATAGGAGCATGACTCAAGAAGTGGAACACCTACCTGCCTAGCAAGTGCAGGAGCCTGAGTTTAAATCACAGTACTGCCAAAAAGAAAAGAAATAGAGTAGATGAGCCAGAAATAAGCCCAAGAATGTACAGCTATCTGACTTTTGACAGAAGTTCTAAAAACAGTGGAAGAAAAGACAGACTTTTTAACAAATAGTGCTGGGAAAACTGAATATCCACGTGTTGAAGATAGGGATCTCTCACCCTGTACAAAAATCACCTTGAGATGAATCAAAGAACTTAAGGTAAAACCTGGAACTTTGGAACTACTAGAGGGAAGTACTTCAATATCTAGTATAGGCAATGTTTTTCTGAATAGGTCTCCAATGGCTCAGGAGATAAGAGTAAGAATTAACAATAGGATTGTATCAAATTAAAAATCTTCTGCATAGCAAAAACAATATCAACAGAGTGAAGAGACAGCCTATGGAATAGGAGAAAATCTTTGTCAAGTGTTCACCCAACTGGGGATTAATATTCAGAATATATAAAGAACTTTAAAAATTAAACATCCAAATAACAATCTGATTCATAAATGGGCAAATGGACTGGACACTTTTCAAATGAAGAAAAATACATGAAAAAACATTCAGCATGCTCAGTCATTAGGAAAATGCAAATGAACACTACACTGAGATTCTACCTCACCGCAATCAGAATGGCTACCATCAAGAAGATAACAGCCAGGGTGCTGGTGGCTTACACCTAGCTACTTGGAAGGCCAAGATGGGGAGGATTTGGGTATGAGGCCATCCTGGGCAAATAGTTTGTGAGACCCCCATCTCCAAAATTACCAGAGCAAAATGGACTGGAGGTGTGGCTTAAGCAATAAATCACCTACTTTGCAAGCCCCAGTCTCAAAGAAGAAGAAGAGGAAGAGGAAGAGGAAGAGGAAGAGGAAGAAGAAGAAGAAGAAGAAGAAGAAGAAGAAGAAGAAGAAGAAGAAGAAGAAGAAGAAGAAGGAAGAAGAAGAAGGAGGAGGAGGAGGAGGAGGAGGAGGAGAAGAAGAAAGAGAGGCAGGCAGGTAGGAAGGAAGGAAGAAGGAAGAAGGAAGAAAGGAAGGAAGGAAA